TGATAAGAGCCTTGATTGGCCAACCCTTGAGAAGACGTGAAGGGACACTGATTTTTATAATGTCATGTTTGCCCACACCCAAAACATCGTTTTGTATCACTGAATGTTCTGTTCTAATTTTCAGAATTTTTTCCTTGATTCGCACTCCTTTTTTCTTNCTGATTTTTATAATGTCATGTTTGCCCACGCCCAAAACATCGTTTTGTATCATTGAATGTTCTGTTCTAATTTTCAGAATTTTTTCCTTGATTCGCACTCCTTTTTTCTTTTGTACCTTGCCCTGGCCGTCAATATGGGGTCATTCATTGGTGATTACTGTTGCCACAATTGCTCGTCTAACTTCCTCTACCTTGCTAACGACTTATGATATTTTGGGTATCCTGCAGGTCTTTTTCTACTAGCATAGCTCTTTCCACTAATTTCTTATAGTTCCTCAGTCGATGCTCTACGAGGCGACTTTGGATACAAGACTTAAGACCTTGTTCAAATCACTTGGCCTTGGCATCAGTGAAAACTAATTCTATGGCAAATCGAGAGAGTTCAGTAAATTTGGACTTATACTGCGTGACTATCAGGTTGCGTTGTTGCAACTCCAGTAAGTCAGAGAAAATTTTATCCCTTACAAACTCTGCTCAAATGTGGTTCACGTTATTTAATCTGCGTTCCTCATTCTTTTGATTGTATTCCACCAGTGATCAGCTTCACTCTCAAAAAGATAAGAGGCCAAGGTAACTCGTAACTCTAGGGCAATATCCATGTCATCTATTACCTTTTTCACTTGTCAAAGTCACCTCTCTACATTAAGTGGCTCTGCACTTCCCTAGAAGGTAGGGGGACGTTGTCGTAGAAATTCTTTGAGTATCATTATTCTTTATGTTTCAGCCACATTTGCTTGTTCCTGAACTATCGGTTGTGTTACCATAGTATGGTTAATTCTCTCGGGCACTAGTAAATGCCACTTATGGTGTCCTATAGTGTTGGAGGGGACTAATCATTGATGGACATCTCTGGTTGGTCATGAGATGTGTTTCCCTTCATCCTATAATACATAGTCCATGATATTATGACTGCATTAAAAATTATGATCAAATTCAAAAAAAACAACTCTAATTCCACATGATTAGCAACTAAAATACATTTTGTTTTCCTATCCTAGATGCCACTTACTATATACATGAAAAAACAAAAGTCTAGGATAGTCACCTCTAAGTCATGTAGTGATATATATATTTCTACTATTTCAAGAGTTACTACTATTTATAGAATTTTTTTTTTAGAATTGTAAGACTGACGATACAGTTAGGGATCAAGAAGTTTCATGTCTTTCCCCCTAGAGACACATTCGCAGAACCCGCAGGGCTGCACGGTGGTTTGTTTCGGGTGGTGCGGCTGCAGGGGCTACATTGGTGTCGTTAGGTTGTGGGTCATATTCTTCATTATTGTTCAGGTCAGAGGATTCTACTGGCTATCCCACATTAGTCACCCTAGGTGGCCATTGAATCTGTTGCATTGGAAATCCATTCAGAATTTTTTAGTACAAGTTGTGGTTCCTTTCGATACTTAGCGCTTGGCGGACCATCCTTAGCTGCGAGGTCAACCTGTGATATACTAATCTTTTCTGCTCGGAGATCGGCATAAACGGTCAATTTCGGGACACATTGTGAATCTCTCAAACTATTAGAGCATAGGCCTCTCCATTGACTCTAAGATTCCAGTACTCATTGACTGCCTCGGAGCCCATGTTACTATGGGTCATATAAAGGTCATCCATGACGCCANCTGCTCGGAGATCGGTATAAACGGTCAATTTCGGGACACATCGTGAATCTCTCAAACTATTACAGCATAGGCCTCTCCATTGACTCTAAGATTCCAGTACTCATTGACTGCCTCGGAGCCCATGTTACTATGGGTCATATAAAGGTCATCCATGACGCCATACCTATAGTCATTAAAAAGTTAGCTCTGTTAATATAAAAAAAAAATTATCCATAATAGGTAACAAAACATGCTTAGTATTAGTAAATTAAGACCACTATTAATTCTACACACACACACACACACACACACACACACACATATATATATATATAATTCTCATATAAGATCTAATTTCTAAGCTCTGATACCACTCTGTCACGCCTCAATTTTTTTNATTATTCATAATAGGTAACAAAACATGTTTAGTATTAGTAAATTAAGACCAATATTAATTCTACACACACACACACACACACACACACACACACACATATATATATATAATTCTCATATAAGATCTAATTTCTAAGCTCTGATACCACTCTGTCACGCCTCAATTTTTTTTTCCTTTTTTAAAAAAAAATATTCAAGCGTGATTAAGAAATAAAACCACATATAACTTATAATAACCTTCCTTGCATTATTATATTCAGCGTATGGTCACATAGTCCTCACTTGATCAGTTCAAATATNGTAAGATCTAATTTCTAAGCTCTGATATCCCTCTGTCACGCCTCAATTTTTTTTTCCTTTTTTAAAAAAAAATATTCAAGCGTGATTAAGGAATAAAACCACATATAACTTATAATAACCTTCATTGCATTATTATATTCAGCGTATGGTCACATAGTCCTCACTTGATCAGTTCAAATATTCTTGATACATTATAAAAAGAAATAATAATAGTAGTCTTTATCCTTCGTCCTTTCAGCTTATCCTCCTGTCTGACTTAATATTTCTCAAAAATGTTAGATAGGGATGAGCTCAGCAGGATAACGTTTATCAATGACTCTCAAGGTTTTAAAACAATACATAATATAATTAAACAACATGTAAATGCAGGAATAAGACCAAATAATGAATCAGATAAATAAATAAATTTTAGCACATATCGATCATATTGATTCGTCAATTTTTTGGTCCACACATGAACTGCCTCTAGAGAAAAGCTTTGGAGTTTTGCACCATAGGGAACCCAATGCTCTTCTTGCTTTTCTGGGAACACCANCGAATCAGATAAATAAATAAATTTTAGCACATATCGATCATATTGATTCGTCAATTTTTTGGTCCACGCATGAACTGCCTCTAGAGAAAAGTTTTGGAGTTTTGCACCATAGGGAACCCAATGCTCTTCTTGCTTTTCTGGGAACACCAACACCGAAATTTATGTGGTGCTACACAGGCTACACGGCAACGAGTATTACTAACCAGTGAACCCAGAACTAGTAGGAATCCTGTGAATCGTCGCAAGGACCACACATCTACTAACCCTCTACCCACGATTATGTGCATTTATAATAATTTTATCAAAATCATAAAATATAGTCATATCNCACGGCAACGAATATTACTAACCAGTGAACCCAGAACTAGTAGGAATCCTGTGAATCCTCGCAAGGACCACACATCTACTAACCATCTGCCCACGATTATGTGCATTTATAATAATTTTATCAAAATCATAAAATATAGTCATATCGTATTCAGACCCAACATCAAGTAGAAAATTAAACACTAAATAAATAAAAAGATATTTTATATGCAATTTGGTTTCACANTCGTATTCAGACCCAACATCAAGTAGAAAATTAAACACTAAATAAATAAAAAGATATTTTATATGCAATTTGGTTTCACAAGATAATTAGGGTCTCGATAAAAAAAATTATAACATGTGCATGATCGCGATTTATTTATAAAATCTCAGTTCGACCTCATGATTAACGCGATATAATAATACATTATATATAAAAAATAGATCTTATATGAAGCCCCCAAATATGTATGAGATGCATCAATGACAGTAAAGATAAAAGAAATCATACCTCTGACGTGACCTTTATTCGATACTGTGTATTGTGACAAAACAACTAATATAATATTTTAGAATAAAAAAAAGTAATAAGGGCTTAGTTAAATTAAAATAATTTTTGAAATAACTAACAAAAAATAGTGATACTTGAATTTGATCCAAAAATATTTAGTGAAGATCAACTTTATGTGACTCAAACCTATCGAATTACTAAATAATAACTGAAAAAATCTTACCCAAAAATTTTGATAGCAACCACNTAATAAGGCAGCAGCATTTCTGCCTTGGGTAATAAGTGGTTTAATGGCCACTTGGTCAAGACCTATGTGAATGAAATTGAATCCTTTGGTCTTGTGTTTTTTAAGGGTCTCCTTACTGAGGAGTTCACAGATATCATCTTNTTAATGGCCACTTGGTCAAGACCTATGTGAATGAAATTGAATCCTTTGGTCTTGTGTTTTTTAAGGGTCTCCTTACTGAGGAGTTCACAGATATCATCTTCTTTTCTGAGGGGATGTACCTGTTCAACAGTTTTAACTTGATGTTCTTCACTAAAGGTTTTTTGAACCCAAGTTGTGCTGTAAATACATTTTTCCTTAACCGGAGGAATGTTCCATTTTTTTCAGTCTGCCTTAGATTCTTCTACTTCTAATTCTTCTTCATTAACTCTATGAGGTATAGAATAATCTGAAGATTTAGATGTACTAGCCCTAGAATTTGATCTAAGAAATCTATTCATATTTTAAATTTAAATTTTATCAAATTAGAAATAATAGGTAAGTTTCAACTACACGATACATACCCCCTAATCTGGCTCCAAGTTCTCTCAACTTCTCGCCTAAAATCCCTTATCTGCCACAACTGGACTTATATATATATATATATATATATATATATATATATGTGTGTGTGTGTGTGTGTTCATTATATTATTACGAAACTTGACCTAAATTATAGTTATTTGACTCATTTTCATGTAAATTATAGTTATATACATATATATATAAAATATACCTCAATCATATTGAATCATAATAGATGACCTAATTAATGTGATAATGAATAATATATATACAGGTCATCACACAAATCCTCCTCCGCCCGACAACACATGACAGTAGAAGGGATACGGTACAAATATACAATACGAGCGATATAATCATCGCAATCAATAGAGCTGAATATGGAAGTCACCTTTGAACCATTATCTCCAGCAGTCCCCTTGCTTCACTAGATGTCTCAAGTAGCCTCCCTCACGATAACCTTGTCAAAGTGGGTACTTGCCAACAAACAGAACCAACAAAGAATCAAGGTCAATGTCAAGGGAATACTAGTATGTTTGGGCTTTTGAGGAGTCTAATTTTGTTTGATCCAGATGATAACCTAACCCGAAATAATGTTGCGTGACTTTAAATTGGAGATTTTCTAAAGCTTAGTCCATGGAGTAGAGGCTAGGGCTGATAGGCCTAAGTTGTTTGAAGAGCAAGCACGCCCAAGCCTCCATATGCAACCTCCTAATCACCGACGTTGCCTCTACGCCCAGCGCTACTGCCTGATCGTCGTTAACCTCCCCTTTGCGTCTGGTTGGCATCGCCTAGCCCGCTATCACCTCTAGTCTGCCTAACTGCGCCAATGCGATCAGAGCCACCAAGGTCGTCGCCTTCCTCGCCTAGGTCTAGTGCCCGCCTTGCATCGCCTACCTGAATGGCGTTGCATATTGCTACTCCTACGTCGCCACTCCCAGCGCCCCAGGCGCCTCCCATATGCTCCCCCACTTCACCATCCTCCTCGACGACGTTGCTCAGGACTAAGTCGCCACCACTAGCCCTGTTCCCAACCCCACCCAACGTGCTGGCGCCGCCCAGAAGCTTAGTGGTATCGCCCAGTGCTTGGGCTTTGGCTCTAGTGCAGCCTAGTGCTCCATCGTCATCAGTGCCTCCTTTGCATTTTTCCTTGGCATCACCCCTCACTTGGACAAATCCTTTAGCTTCCACCATAGCCGAGTTGCCATAAGCCACCTTAGAGAGGGCGCTACCCAACACCTGGGTCGACGCCTCGAACTGCCGGGTCTCTCCAATGGCGCCACCCACTCTTGATCTGCCTTGAGCCACCTCTCTCCTCTCCATTAAAGAATCTCCTCCTGGGCCACCGTTTGATTGAAACTTTCTCCACCAAATCCCTCCTCACCTTCTAAGGAAGTTTGCAGCTTTAAAGGAAAGAATGAAGAAAATGGGGTTTTCAAGATTTTTAAGTCCTGGGTACAATGAAGATATTCTATGAAGGCGTGTAAAGTCCTAAAACATGGAGCCTAGGTGAAAAGAGGTGATCGGCATTGCAATGGTGACATAAGATGGGGACTGAATTTTTACAGACAGAAATGTAAAGTCGAAGAAGTCACTACCGTGGAGAACAAGAAACCTTTTTCAGATGAAGATCTCACTCATGACCTCAAAATCTTTGACACCTCAAGCCCAGATGCAACTAGGCCAGACCCAATAAATCAAGCAAGCCCAAATAAGCTAAAAGACAGGTCAAGACCAGTCTGTGAATTCAATCCAGTTCAAGATTCAAGATTCAAAGAGTCCAAGAATAATTAAAACACACGGGGAACAATTACTGAGATATTTACCCTCGAAGATCAAGACAACATCTTATGGCACTAATCTTTTGTAACGACCTGGAGAAGTAGTACATTTGTCCTCATCTTACCGTCTTAACCAAGACTTCGTGTCTATAAATTTTAAGCTCTTTCTATATGAGAGGGCATCTCTTTACACATCTGGAGACATCTCTTTGTATCTCTACACCTCTTGAGATCTCTCTACATTTCTCTACACACTCACACATAGCTTTTCTCTCTCCTATCTATTGTATCTCTCCTGAAACTAACCATTGCTCTCTCTTGTTCACCTTACTTTATCAATAAAGGTCCTCCGGCCACCGTTGCAGTTTTTCGGAGTGGAGTTATCATGCCCCGAATTTTCACAAACCCGGGGAGTGAGTGAAAAGGAAGAAGAAAAGAAAATGAAAGGTCATTAGGTTGGATAATTTGATTTTTCATTCATTTTCCATGTTTTCCCTTTTTCTTCCAAATTTTTTCAAGCCACTTTCTTTCCATTTTTAAGCCTATTTCTTCAAAGTTTCTAACCGCCCTCCCTTTGACATCCTTTCCACCTACTTAAAATATTTTTTACACACTTATCAAGTCTTTTAATTTTTCATAAAATTTTAACATAACCTCCTTTATTTTCAAAGTCTTTTTCCCACCTAATATTTACAATACTGTATATGTATAAGTATATCACAACCCACCCTCACTTGGTGGCCACAATCCATGTAAATTAAACATACATCCCTTATTTTCAACAGATACATCTAGTTCTCTCAATATACATATATAATACTCATTAAATAAAGATATCTTACATATCAATTGTATTTACACTCTTAAACTTTAAAATAGCCCAAGACCTATAGTTTACAACTTTTTCAAACTGAAATACAAGTTATTTGGGCTTATGCTCATACATACAAAAAAAATATGCCCTAAGGGCCAATTGTTCATTCAAGTTTCTTTCCTCTCCTTCCTTTAAGATTTCCTTGAGTCTCAAGCACCGGGAGTCTCATCTATAATATGATATCCCATGAATTAGTCAGCTCAACTGCTGGTATGACAATATGCTAATGTTAGAGTACTGTCATTGACTGGATTTTAGATTTTTCACCACAGGATCAACACCCTCATAATACATAACACCAAGTGCTTAATCCATACTATGTTTCTAAGGATTCATGTATGTCAAGATTCCTTGATTTTTCTCAATGTAAATTCTATGAAATATTTCATCAACACATGACGTATAACTTAAAATATATCTCATTAATAAAGTAAAACATAACTTCAAATTCACAACACTTTGTCAACATGAATGTGAGACACAATTCAATGAATTAAACAAATGATCAAGTTTCATGTTCATTACTTTCACAATTTCTCAAAGAAAATACAAATACAAAAACTATTAACTCATGGAATAAATCATAACTCTCAAACAAGAAGAGTTTCTCTACATGAACATAAGATAGAATGTAATAATCCAACACACATGCAAGGGACACCTTTAGCATAGTAACAAATTATCAAAAAACTCAAAGAACACAAAAGTACCTAAACTACTAATTTTAAGTTTTCAAAGCAACTACCATCTTAAGTGATTTTCTAACATCAAGTAAACACTTAAATCATTCAATCAACATATAGAAAGGCAAGAAAACTTAAATCTATTCCTAACTTAGCAAAATATCATACCTAAAATAATTTTTCTCAAATCGAGGGAGTTGTGTTCGCTTCACAGCCGAAACGATCAGTGAGAATATAGCCCTTATTAAGAGGAACAACTTTCTAAAAGGAAGTCTTGCAAGAATCTTGGCCTAGGAGTGTATTTTGGTGGCTTGAAGCTTGGAGAACCTAAGATTTTTCTTCATTTTCTCTCCATGAACGTGTTCTACTTTTTCTCCAAACCAAAAAATGATATTTTTACACTAAGAGGCTGTATTTATAGTGGAGAGACAAAGGTGCAAAATGACCCTTTTGCCCTTATGAATTCAAGACCCTACTACACTACAATCCGTCCCGAAAAGCCTTAATTCGACATTTTTCTTTAACCAAAGTTCTTAAATTTATTTTAAATGAACATTTAAAAAAAAAATAGATTTTCGCTTGTGGCCGGGTTTAGCCAGTTCCACCTGGGATGCATTTTTTGTCCAATTTTTAAAACTATTTTCGTTTATGCTCAAAGTTGCATAGTGAGTGTATTTTAACATTCTAAACATGTTTTTCTTTTATGACATACTCAAATTATGCTTCTAAACATGACTTATACTTAAATGATGCATATATAGTGCTCTACCAGAAAATGGTGCATGAATAGTGCTCTACCGGCAAAACGAAAAATTTATTCTCATTTTTCAGATCTCTACGTCTTTACCCCCTTAAAGAAATTTTGTCTCAAAATTTAAAAATGTACCTCTACGAATAAACAAATCTGGATACTTAGTGCGGACTTCAACCTTGTGCTCCCAACTAGCCTTCTTGACCCCATGATGGTTTCAAAGAGAACCTTGACCAAATGGATGATCTTGCCCCGCAAAACCTTGTCCCTCGACTCTAATACCTCCACTGGCCTCTCATCATAAGAACACATTACCTCCACTTGAAGATCTATCCAATCTAACACATGTGAAGGGTCAGACTCGTACTTCCTCAACATCAACACATGGAAGACATCATGAACCCCAAATAGTTGTGGCGATAATGCGACCTTATAGGCCACCTCACCAACCTTCCCAAAGATCTCAAATGGTCCTATAAACCGTGGTAACAGTTTTTTGCTATGCCCGAATCTCCTTAAATCCCACCATGGGGCTACTTTGAGGAACACATGTCCCCCAACATCAAATGATAGAGGTCGTTGCCTCCTATCCACATAACTCTTCTGGCGGCTCTGTGCTGTCAACTGGCGCTATCTAATCACCTATATCTTGTCTATGGTCTCGCGGACTATGTCAGGCCCAAAAGCAGTTGCCTTCCCTACCTTAGTCCAATATACCAATGAATGACACGGCCTACTATACAACGCCTCAAAAGGTGTCATCTCAATACTAGACTGATAGTTGTTCCTGTAGGCAAACTCTACTAAAGCAAGATGATCTTCCCAACTACCCCTGAAGTCCATAACACATGCTCTAAGTATGTCCTTAAGTATTTGAATAGTACACTCTGACTGGCCGTCAGTCTGAGGATGAAAAATAGTACTAAATAGTAGCTGAGTCCCCAAGGCTGTCTAAAGACTCTGCCAAAACCATATAGTAAAAGGTGGGTCTGTGTCTGAAACAATGGAAACAGGAATCTCATGTAGTCGTACTATCTCTCAGATATACAACCTACTGAGAACATCCATTGAATCAATCACTCTAATCGATAGGAAACGTGCGAACTTCATCAACCTGTCAACAACAACCCAAACTGCACTATGACCTCTAAGTGACTTCGGAAGACCCATCACAAAATTCATAGTAACAAACTCCCACTTCCAATCGGCCACTGGCAATGGTTGTAACAAACCCCCAAGTCTCTGGTGCTCAACCTTAACTTATTGGCATGTGAGATATCTTGATACAAACTGCACCGCATCCCCCTTCATCCCAATCCACCAATATTAGCAGCATAAATCATGGTATATCATAGTGCCCCCTAAGTGTATTGTTAGGCGTGAATGATGAAAATCTCTAAGGACATCAGTCCTAACAGACTCTGGAACAAAGACTCTACCCATATACCTCAAGCTAAGGTCAGAATAAATTGTCCATCCCTTAAATCCCTCGGCACTTGCAGCTCGTGCTCGAATCTAACCTGCTTCTGTGTCCTGTAAACTACGTCTCAATAACCCTGCTCAACTGTGTAGGCTGTGCACAAATATTAAATAGTGTGGTGTGTTCCTCAGACTCAGCAAGGTCTAAGCCAAACTCACCAATGTCTCCCATCATCTCCCACTCCCTAATAGTAATGCTAGCTACAGTGCTCCTTGATCTTCTATTAAGTGCATCTGCTACGATATTGGTCTTCCTAGGATGGTACTGAAGGTCAAAGTCATAGTCTTTCATATACTCCATCCATCTGCTCTACTGAAGGTTCAAGTCCTTCTGCGTGAAAATGTATATGAGGTTTTTGTGATCTGAGAACACTTCGAACCTCTTCCCATATAAGTAGTGTCATCAACTCTTAAGTGAAAAAATGACGACAACTAACTCAAAATCATGTGTGGGATAGTTCTGTTCATGATTCTTCAACTAACGAGAACCATAGGCTATCACTCTACTCTCCTGCATTAATACACAGCATAATCCCTATTGTGAAGCATCACAATAAAGGTATAGCAAATACCTCCCTCAAGTATAATTAGGACAGGTGCTCAATTCAGCCTCTTCTTCAGCTCCTGAAATGAATACTCACAGTCATCTATCCACTCAAATCTAATGCCCTTGCGCGTCAGACTAGTCATCGGGGCGGCAAGACCCCCCACAAACTGACAGTAGTACCCTATCAATCTCAAGAAACTCCAAATCT